TGTGGTTTGATTTCTCTGTGTACTGTACAGAGTGTTTGTACCTAAAACAATTATTAAACTACTTTTTAAAAAACGAAATTACCATGCCATGCCTATGTAAAAATATTACTGGGGAATTGTGCTCTCCTTTTAACAACTGTTTTTAAGGTTATCATAAAACAAACTGAAATAAGATCTTTTTAAACAAAATCTAGATAAAAAAAAATTTCTTGACTTAATTCTGCAGTGTTTTTTTTTTCTTTTCCTTTTTTCGGGAAGTTCGTTTCTGCTCTTAAACACATTTAAGCAATTGACCCTTTGCTAAGCCCCGCCCACCTTAGCTACTGTTGTCACGCCTTTCAAGTTTTCATGCCTGGCACGTCTACTATATATGTATGTGCTATATAATATGTATGTGCCGATGTCAGACATTCCTTGGAATATAATTAGTCCTTTTTGTTGAACAGGTGAGATATCTTAGAAAGCGAGAAAAAAAAGGATTGCAGTATATATCACGACAATCGTCAATTGATTAGAAAATAAATTTTAAATAAATTAATCAAAATAAAAGCTAAAGCCTATAGCCGCCTCATACCCTGACCATTTAACAGATTAGTTCATGCACAGAAGCATAGGTGAAATTTTAAATTAATATAATAATAACAAATTAAACAGTGATTTCTCTTTCTTTTAGCCAAAAAGCCTGATAGACTATTGATGTGTAATAAAATATAGCGTTACTATAATTGCAGTTAAATAGAAAAAATAAAAAAAACTGAAATGCAAATCAAAGTATAAATAGCAGAAGTGAACAATTAGATTTTCCCTACCAGCAAATATTAATCTGACACCAAATATAAAAGCATTAACCCGCTATTTTCACATCCTGTCTTCCATGTATGTTTGTTTTCGTCATGTGACTTTCACCATGTGCTTCTTTTCTCCTGTGTATTTATACCGCTTAGTTTCATTCAGTCTTCGTTCGGTATTCTCAGTTGATGTCTGTTTTAAACCCATGTTCTTCCTGTGTTAATCCATGTAAGTGATTATCTATAAACCTATGAGTTTTGATAATCCTGCAATCATGTGCCTTCCTGTAGTGAACCCAGGCGTTATAGCTACAATGACTAAATCTCCAAAAGATTGAACAAAACAACGGTGAACTGTAGCTCTGACATGGACATGAGGTTTATAAATTTCTGAAAAACAGCTGCGGGTGAAGTATATGGATCGCAAGTGCTCAGTGATATGTAATTTCAAATAATCGTAACTTGAAACAGATGCTGTTTTTACGGCTCCTCACACAGCTTGATCCACCCTGCATTTCTCCACTTGGGTTTTAGGATTTACAAAGGGGAAAAAGTTCCACCACCTCTTCCAAACTTTTAGGATATCGGGTATTAGATTTGCCCAATCCAAATGCACAAACACTTTGGCTCGTTTTCCTCGCCTGAAAGCTTGACAGATCTCCTGCGCACAGCTACGGTTGCTAATCCACGACTGGTGTGTGGCGGTTTTCAGGTGTGGCTTAGCGTAGGGTCAATTATGTAATCAGTGGGTGTGATCTGCAAGCGATTTCTTCCACATTTTTTTCTCATTCTACGGGTGTCAGATGAGTTGAGTAACTAGAGCATATATATCAGCACTTGTTTAATTGCTTGAAAAAGATATTTTAAAGACTTTAAAGACACCAGATAAGAAGCCCATCTCAGCATGGCCAATTTTTTTCTTTGAGTTCGCATGCACCATTACCACTATTCGGTGCCTGTCCACAGCAAATAGAAAACAATGTAAAGATGTAACGTGCTGTGGTGGTGCTACTGCTTAAAAAAAACATCAGGGCATTTAATTTTCCATGTTGTTAAAATTGAATATAATATATTATTCTACACTATTTAAATTGTTTTTATTTTTATTTAGATTATTTAAAACAAGATGTTTTTACAAATAAAGTGTTTGTGGGTTAATAACACAAGTGCTATGGCGTTTTAGTTTAGTCAGCTTCTTGAGCTTAGAATTTAACAATTTCAAACGAATCGATTATTCTGCAAACAATTACAAGTTTTCCATGTTTACACCATTCCTTTTTAACAAAGACACTGTCATGTGTCTACATTCTCACTACATTTTTCAATGTAGAAATCTAAGACACGAAAGGGATGTAGCAACATTGTTGCGTGACATTTTACAACATGACACTACTTTTTTTGTCCATTGCTTGTGAATATAGCCTTTTCTGCTTATTAATAGTAGCCTTATAGTATCAAAATGTTATTTAATATTAACTATTGCTCATTAACTAAGTTTATTAATTACTGGATGAATGTGCATGACAAAGAAATGGCTTTCAACAAAACTAAAATCTCACAATTTTGATTCATTAGGGACAAAATGTATTTTAAACTGTGTAAACTATCTTTTTTTTACCTGTGTACTTATCAACTTACCTGAGAGCTAATCGACTTCCTGGTACAGGCCTCAGGCTCAACAGCAAACCTATCTGCCCTGTGCCTTCATGCCTCCCAAACTTTTATCTTTTGCCACTATTTCAACAGGATACATACAAATGTCATTTATTGTACATTTTGGTGTCTAGCTTGAAAATCCAGCTAAAGTTACTTAAAAATTACCTATAATTAGTCAAAGCAGGTTATTTATTTAAGGTTGTTTAAGCAGTTCATAAACTACAATCTGGCAACCTACCAATTTCCTAATTGGTGAACATTAACTTTACATCTGCTTGATTAAAATCTAAAGAGAAAAGAAAATACATAATCCAACTGTATTTCATCCAAAATCATATGTATATACAATAAATTGGTTTTAATATTATCATAAGTGACGCAGTGGCACAGTAGGTAGTGTTGTCGTCTCACAGCAAGAAGAAGGCTGGGTCACTGGTTTGAACCTTGACTCGGTTGGCGTTTCTGTGTGGAGATTGCATGTTCTCCCTTTTATACATATTAAAGAATTAACATTATAGAGTGTATTAAGTGATTTAGTTTTTAATGAAAAAAGTCGGGCATGGGATTGGTGGAACAGTATATTGCTCCCAATATTACTGCATTCCTAACAGCTAGAACCTACAATAAGTTGCCAGCAGAAGTATCCTTCTAAGCTACTTCTGCGAGCACGATGCAGGAGAAAAAAACTATTCATTCTCCAATCAGGACATGTATTTCCATGCCTTGATCCTTTCTCGACACGTTGCTTCTTCGAAGGTCAGGTATGGCAGTACAAAAATCCTCCTTCATGGACTCGCCCGGTCTTCACAGGTCTTCACCAAGGCAGAGAGAGTGCCCTCAATTATTGTGATACCTGTTTGATTATAGCTCAGTCTCAAGATCAATTAGACATGCACAGGGACAAGGTGCTTTTACATTTTAGTCAGTGGATTTTGGTCAATAAATAAAGAGCAAGCTTATTCCTGAAGAGAGCATCTATATCCTTGTGATGGAGATGGACTTAATTTCTATGATGGTGCATCGCACCATCAAAAGCTTTGGGTTGATGCTGACATGTCTGAGAAAATTTAACAGAAAAGCAGTGGTCCCATTAAAACTATTTCAATCGCATCTCAAGCCAATTTTAAGCTGCTAGGATTGCTGTATATTTGATCACCTCAGAGCTGTGGTTTCACAAGTCGGCCAGCACTCCTTTGTTTCACTAAGTCCCCCAGTCTTCCCTGTTTTTCTACATGCTTTTCTATGCTTTCCACACTTTCATTTTTCCTGGAAAATTAAGTCACCAAACAGTGATAGCGCATCCAATGTTGTGTTCACACCAAAAGGAGAATTAAGTAACCTATTCGCATGAGTAAGTTACTTTACAAAGTCAATGCCAAGGCAAATAGAGGCAAATTATTGATGTCTATAATTAGTGATTATTGATGAATAACAGTTTCTGAAAGGTGTCAACAGCTAAACATACCCTCAAAATGTCCCACACAGCTTACAGTCTTTCACTCGCACTCATTTTACACACACATACACACACACACACACACACACACACACACATGCAGGTATATCAATTAAAATAAATATCAGAACATTCATTCATTCATTTTTCTTCGGCTTAGTCTCTTCTATAGCAGCAGTCGCCACATGGGAATGAACCGTCAACTTATCCAGCATTTGTTGTACGCAATGCATTAGTTATGTGAACTTAGTGTTGGTAGTCACTTGCAGTTTCATATATGGCTATATTTGCAAATTACATATATGATCAAGTTCATATTTGGATTTCACAGATGTAAAAATGTGAAAATATTTCAGATTATTTCACAAAAACCTGTTAATATTTACTATGCTTTTTAAACAATTACAAATGCACATATTTTAAACAAAATTAAGTATAGTTTTATCATATTTCATAATTTTGTAATTTTATCAGATTTACCTACAACAAGGAAAAAACCCATTGATATGGTTCTAAAGCATGTTTACAGCATAAAGAACTATTTAAATCTATTCAAAATTCCTACACCTTTTGGACCTGCATCGCACATTGCAGATACACATGTACACACATAGATTTTTTCAACATGCATAAAGTATAAAGAAAGAATAAATGTATTTCATAAATGCCATGATTAAACTTTACATATAAAATCAAATCACCTCTCTCAATCAGGATCATATTACATTCTCTGATCCATCTGTATACTTTTTAATTTTCAAAAACATTCAATTGCAGTTAAGTTGTTTTTGTTGGCTATATATAAACTGTGAATATTAAACATCCATATAATTTCATAGTGCGTTATTACACTGTATGTCCGTTATGTTGTCTGTCTAATATGTTATAGCGTTTACAATTAAATTCACTACTGAAAAAGTTAAATTGAGTCTCATTACTTCACCGTCCTATTTGGACGAATCAGAAACACATAGGTGCTTGAGTCGCAGATCTGCCTGCTGCACAGGTCTGCAAACTCCCCCCTAATCGTTTCAATGGCCAGGGGGAAGGGACAGGGGTAGGCGTACACTATAAAATAGTTTTTGGTTTGAACCCTAACTGCAGCGCGTGTGCGCGAAGTGGATTGCGGTTTGGCCGGGGAGTCCCTACAACATCAGAACGACATCAATTTGGTACGAAACTAGAAGTTATGTTGTCATTTCATAATGTCCCGATTCATTGCAATTTATCGCTATAGCATTTCTACAAGTTATCTTTGAGATGGTGGCAGGCTTGTTTTGCAGTTATTGCCCAACAAAACAACTTGTTAAACTTCGATTTTGCGTGTCAAAGGTAACGTTAATGTTGTTTTATCATCAGCAGTAGCCCTTGCTGAATTGCATATCTTCATTCATTACTGCGGGCGATGTTATAGTGAGCGACAGTAAAATTATATATTTTTCTTAATTTTAAGACTTTTTTGCTCAAAGTAACATTTTATTAATTTGGATTGATGCTTGACACATTTCGCAGTTTGAAACGCTCCTTAATTCCGTCTGGAAAAGTTGCGTGCTAAAATGTTAAAAGTGTTTTTTTGTTTGTTTGTTTGTTTTTTTAATAGTTTTTATTTTACAATACGCTGTTGTTAAGTTTTGGAGAAGTGAAGTAACACATTTATGTAACTTTTATTTCTTTTCAGGAATATATTTATTTTCCTATTATTTTATATATTGTCTTATCGGACGTTTCGTCATGTTGGCTCCAGTTAGGTAAAGTACAGATATTTCTTTTATGTTTCTTACAAAGAGTAATCAAAATTATTTTTTTCTGTTACAGAATCATAAATTGCCTTTATTGTCATTTAATTGTTTATTAGTTGATTTTTTATTACAGTTAACAATATAGTTTCTGACAAAAAAAGCCATTTGATGGAAAGCTGTAGTAAATTTTGCCTTTCGACTCCACCACAATTATGAATAGATAGTAATGTGAAACAGACTCTGAATGTGTCAGCTTTGAAAAGGATGCAGAAGCACTATACTTTCATAAAAGTGGCCAGTTTTGCATACATGTGACTTCTGAAGCCATATCAAAGGTTCACACTACAAGTTTAAATGCTTAAATTTGATTTTGTTTCTCAGATCTGATATTGCATAACTGTTCAAAATGTTATGATAAATGTGGCCAATATCTGATTGCAGTGTGAACAGATGATGTTCTTAAAATGACCTGCATCTGCAAAAGTACAATTACGGACAGCACAAAACTTCTAATTACGGACACAATGTAGTATACTGTAAGCACGTTGTCAAATTATGCTAATGATTATTGCCCTTTTCACAGACAACAAGTTGTATTTTATTAAATGTAAAGTGTTGTTTTGCTATTTTTAATGTTTATTTTGCCATTTAAAACTTAAAAAAAGGTCTCTTGTGATTAAAGCTGGGCATTATGGCAAAAAAATATCACAAAAATTTTCTTCATATCTGTCGATATCGATAATTATTACGAAAAATGTAAAATCTTTATATCTATCAATTTTATACGATTTTTAGCTCGAGTTGCGAGTCTTTCTGACCACTGATTTAATGAACTCATCAAGGGTTAATGAGCACCCGCAGACTGAACTAGGAAGATCTCTGCAAAATTATTTAATTTTACTTCGTTATAAACAACAGGCACATGCTGAAGGGGGGTTTGGATGCTTGAGCACCTGCCCTTTTATTTCATCTCTCAGAAAGAAAGTTCCCCTTAAAATAAAAGTAGGCTACCCTTTGTACACAGATTCCCTATCTGCAACACCCTTGATGCTCTTCAGCTTCACGATCAACCCGTGGCCTCATCATTATCCAGATTGGTTAACAAGCACCAGTTTTGCCTTCAATCTTTTTTTCAAAATGAACAACCAACTTTCTGTGGTAATGTTATTCCCCTGTGTGCCATTCTACTATGCTGCTGAGGAGTAGATGATGTTTGTAGCACAGAAAAATAAAGCATGTAGCTCATCCTACATAACCGATCACAATGAGGTTGCATTGCCAAACATCAGATCTGTGTCTGATTTAATACTACATATAAAAGTGGCATAAATCAGATCTGAAAAGATCCTACTCCATGCAGTCTGGGCTGTTCACACTGTCATTAACATTTCATTTAACATAACATTTTCTTGTTGGCTTAGTCCCTTAATTAATCTGGGGTCGCCACAGCAGAATGAACCGCCAACTTATCCAGCACGTTTTTACTCAGCAGATGCCCTTCCAGCCGCAACCCATCTCTGGGAAACATCCACAAACACTCATTCACACACACTCATACACTACGGACAATTTAGCCTACCCAATTCACCTGTACCACATGTCTTTGGACTGTGGGGGAAACTGGAGCACCCGGAGGAAACCCACACCAATGCAGGGAGAACATGCAAACTCCACACAGAAACGCCAACTGAGCCGAGGATCGAACCAGCGACCCAGCGACCTTTTTGCTGTAAGGCAACAGCACTACCTACTGTGCCCCTGCTTCGCCCTTTTCATTAACAAGTGGGCAAAAAAAATCAGATTCACATTTCACAAAAATCAGGTCACATTTGGCTGTAGTGTGAACCTAGCCAAAGGAAATGAATAAAAAACAAACCAGAATTGTTAAAACAAATGCATGATTCAATGAAAATCTGACATCTACGTGTGTTGGAGTTAATTATTTTTGTCTAAATAGTTTTGAGATATATTATTAAACATATCTGTCCCTCATAGAAACCAGTGTGAGAATAGAAGCTTGACAGTGGTCTGTATAATAGGGAAAACAAGAAATACATGTTGCTGTCCCTCAATTATTTGTCTCTAGAGCTGTGAGCACTGAGAGTAGGAGATGTCCTCTGTTAACTGTTCAGCCCTGTCGAGGACTGATGGATGAAAAGTTTCAGGTCGTCATAAAAAATTTACTGCCCAATCAAGAGGTAACGCTACACTCTCTACATCAGTCTGAAGATAAGGACTTCTGGGAGGCTTTTGGACACTATATCAGTGATGAACATGGAACAGTAACAGGTGTGTTCAACAATCTTACTCTTTAAAAATTTACCATGCCAAACATACTCCATACCAACATAAACTACCCTTCAAGATAGTGGAGAAAAAAGTCGCAGAGGAAATAACTGATCTGTACAACACCTTACACCTTTCTCTTTCAAATCGTTATCCACTTATGACTCAATCTCAGATTGTTTCTATTCATTGCTTGTATAAAAATGGCTCATTTTGTACAGTTGGTACAGAACTTGCTTTGACAAACTAAAGATAATATTAAATTTAATTTAGCTGAATGTTCAAGTCCTACCAGATCTATCTATTAAATATAATTAAACATTAATAACCCAAAACAGTGGTCCAGAATCCACGTATGACATTATGACTAAATGTATCCTGTTGTAATAGTGGCAAAAGATGAAAGTTTGGGAGGCACGTATGAAGGCACAGAGCAGATGGGTTTGCTGTGGAGCCTGAGGCCTGTACCAGGAAGTCGACCTGCACTCAGGTAACATACTGTAGAATGATGGTGTTTTACAAAGTTTAAATATTATTTTTCGCAAATGAATTCAAAATGTGAGGCAAAGTCATTACTATGTTTATTCCTACACGTTCCCCCCCACCCCCCCACCCCCCACCCCCCACCCCTCCCTCCCCTTAATCAAGGTTGCGCAAGATGAATGTTCTCACACCGATGGTAATTAACATTTCAGTCTACAATGGGCATCTATCTCAAGGATTCAGTCAGGCCTCTTTGCTGGCCACAACTGTCACAGAGCGCTGGTACATGGCACCAGGTGTAAAGAGGGTGAACATAAAGGAGAAAGGAGTTCTAGGAACTTTATTTCTTCCCCCAGGTAAAATACAATTCATGCGTGTATAAATGTAAATATGCCTCTTCTAAGATGTAAGATCTATTTATTTGTTTGTTTGGTGATAGTCAAGAAAGTCCAAACTGTCAGAGTGATAAGTTGGTTGAGTTATGTACACTTAAATGACACTTAAATGACAGCAGTCAACTGAAATAAGGGGTGTGGGAAGTAATTTTTTATTTGAAGGAATAAACAGGATTGATTCAACATAGCAAATTATTGCATGATCAGTGGTAAAAAAGTACTGAAAAACCATACTTAAAAGTACCATTACTTGCTTAAAAATGTAGCGCAAGTAGAGTAAAAGTATCTGTGATAAATATTACTCAAAGTATGAGTAAAAAGTAGCCATTTTAGAAGTACTCTAGAGTAGTGAGTATTATGCAATAAAAAGCTGATGCACTTACATGTAATTTGTCGATGTGTGTAACATAACATTCTGTAGTGCATTTAGTTATTGCCCAGCAGGTACACAATGTCATAAAACATTATACTAGGTTAGATTTAGGTCGTGAGGTCAGGTGACCATAATTCCATGTCTAGCATGTATCTAGGGACAACGTTATTTTGATCACCAATAACAACGTCAAATGATGTTGATATTTGGTTGATTTTAGGTTGTGTTAGAAAATGATCAGAAATCCAACATCAAGCCAACATCTTAAATCATATTGACGTCAAAATCTGACATTTATTTGTCAGGTATGGCAACCAAAATCCAACGTCTGATAGATGTCATATTGGTAACATCCACACAACGTCAAGCTGTAACATCATTAGACAGTGATATTTGGTTGATTTTAGGTTGGACGTTGGACATTGACGTCAAACCGATTTTCTTTGGACGTTGGACATTGACGTCAAACCGTTCTGACGTCAAACCGATTTTCATTTCCAATCAAAATGCAGCGTTCCCACAACGTTGAGGTATAACATCAATCTAACGCCATGTTGATCTTGTGCCTGCCAGGTGTTTAAGGCCAGTTTGGTCTTGATACAGTAAACATCCATCATCTTCTCATCAGTGATATGCGTCTAAACAGTCACTGAGTCAATGCATCTACAGATTTTGGACATATTTAATGCTTCCAAACAGTTTGCTGCAATTATAAATCGACTATACAAATTATAGTCAATTAAATAAGAAATCACTACTTGATGAAGATTAATACAGTAACTGGTAGGATGTGAAAGTGTCTCTAATTTTGATCAGTATTGATTTTAAATGTCTAATTTGCATTTTTTTAATACTGTGCTTCAGAATACGCGAGTCATAACATATGCTTTAAAACCACTTTTTAACTCCTGTTAGTATATCCTGGTTATTTTTAGCATATCGTAGATTCTTCTCCTCCACTCTGTCAAAATAGGGAAGGATATGCATGTACGTCTATTACATCACAACTATAATTTAATGAACTAGTTTGTAAATATTCTGCTGTGTGTCTTTTTTTAGGCTCTGGGCCTTATCCAGGAGTGCTGGACCTATGGGGCGGAGGTGGTGGATTGATTGAATATCGTTCTGCTCTGCTTGCATCTCATGGTTTTGCAAGTTTGGCCCTTGAATATCTCTCTCCAGAAAAGCTGAAAATGACTGAGGTTGATGGTACATATTTTGAGGTAAATTTAAAATGTTGACATCCTTGGATTCCTGCTTCCTTGGATCATCTTTTGTAAAATCATTTTATTACCTATGTATTTTGTGTGTTTCCCACAGATATTTCTTTTTACTTTGTATGTGTGTGTTCCGATAGAAAGCATACCAGATCTTGCAAAATCATCCATTAGTACAGAAGGACAAGATGGCGGTACTTGGGTTGTGTTTTGGAAGTGCCATCACATTAACTATGACTGCCTACTCCAGAGTCATCAAGGTTTGCTTCCCTACATATATGTTATATATGTACAATATTTTGAATGAAACTTTTTATTGTTGATTGTAATTTTACTTTTTTAAACATGTACTTTTGCTTGTAGCCCCAGTGCTGTGTCTGTATCAGTGGAAGTCATGCCATTCCTGTTGATAAATGTCTCTTTGAAGTCTTTGAGGACATAAAAAAGTAAGCAAATCCTAAACTTTTATTTACAATCTGACTGAGCGTCACTTTATATTTCATTGAATAGGGAAAGAAGTTGCAAATGTCAGCCTTACAAATCTTTCACAAGTCAGTGCACGAGGTGATTATATACAGGATAAGAGCAATGTTGCAGAGTGATGTTGTTGGCTACTTTCCCATTAGGAACGGGCAACAAAATGGAACAAAATTCTAGCAGCGAATCACTGATGACTGGCATGGAGCAGTCCAAAAATACTAACAAGATGGTGATTGCTCAGCAGCAGTAGAGCTAGAAAAAGGAGCGTAAACTTATAGCTTATCAACAAAAAAAGACAAAGATAAAGGACAAAGATTTTTTGTATGTGATAAAAGCATTGCTGATAAAGCAAAAATTAAGCCGAAGGAAAGTAAGTGAGAATAAGTAAAGTCCCCCATTATGCTTTGAGTATTACCAGTGTTTTATGTAGCTGTTTTTGAATGTCAAAAGTTTTAAAGGGTCTTTGCATTGCGCTCATAGTCAGAAGCATGTGATGGGTTATTATTAAATCTGTTGCAGCACACAGATATAATGCCTCATTTCCTCTGGGCTGTATCGTACGGAACAATAAGATTCTGTACAGGTCACTGTGATCAGATGGTTTTTGTGGTTTCACTGCCAATATTACCCTTACTTGGTGTATGCCAGAATTAAGTGATCCACATCATTCTTGTTCAAAGAGAGCCATATGGCTTAAATATATGCAGTACATAAAAAATGCACTTCCTTTGTTGTAGTTCCCCTGGCTTGTTCCAATAAGCTAGCACAGCTAGTGTTTTTCAGCCAATGATGAACTTCCGGTGAAAGCTTTATGTAACTATTTTCAATTTCATAAGGTTTCTTTTACAGCATCGATGTTGTAATGCAATTCAAATATATTTAGTTACATAGACTTATGAATTCATTTAGTTGTTCAAGCATAAAAAGTGATTTAAATGCAGGTGCCATTATTAGCAGCAGGCTAGCACAGAAATTCAATTGAAAATACTAGGGTAAAATTAATTTCCATATAATAAAAACATGGCATTGAAAAAAATTACTTAATGCAGTGCTTCTTATTTGGTCTGATACCCACTTTATATCGTATTTCAGCCAGGCAGTGAAGATCACTTTTTTATTTTTTTTTTAAATCAGGTCTTAAACGAAGTGAATTTGTATGGGATGACAATTAACCGGAAGCCCTGAGGCTGGTGGACTGAATAGTCTGTGTGCATATACCCCATTATTGGTAAAAACAATATGCGTCTCACAGAATCTAGTCAATTTTTAAGGACCATACTCATTAAAGGATCCCAAAAAGTTATTTAAAGTGCACCTATGAGGGAAAAATAAGCTTTGAGAAACTGCTTAATCATTACGGTGTGTAGATATAGTGTGTTTATACTGAGAAATAAACTTTCTTAATGAATAAACTTTTTTTAATGACCTGACCTTAAAATATGATTCAAATCCCAGTGAATTCGAGGGTTGCTGCACTGTGACATAGGAGAAAACCGCCCTGCTCACCATATTGAGTGACAGGCATGTATTATGTGACAGTCCTTCTTCACTGGTTACTTATATAGGTGTACATATTTAATTTTTTGGTGTGTGATCACAGTTACAATTAACATATGTCCGTATAATGTGTAAAAATATGTCCACAAAACAGGGTTTGCAAAAAAACTGAGATTAAAAGATCTGTCCCAACTCTCCGTGATCAGCTGCACATCAAAAAATGAGTTTTGCAAGTTTAAATGAGAAACAGACACGCATGTGGGAATAGTGGGTGGGGAGAACAAGATTTAAAGGCACAATAAGCAACAATATCTACAAAGTCCTCTAACCCCAAAATTCACATATTCAGGAGAGTATAAAAATGATCTGTTAGGTATTTTGAGCTGGAACATTCTGGAAACACCAAAGACTTCTTACCTCTTATAAAAGAGTATTCAAGATGATGTTCATAAAATAATAAAATTCATCTTTAAAAGTCACATCAATCTCTGCTGGAAGTTTATTGGTGGCTGCAAAACAAGTCTGTGTATACTGTATATCCCATTCGTAAAAACACAATCTACATAAGCTTTGTGTGACTAAAATAGTCTTTAAAATATCATACCGGTCAAAAAGAAATGATGGCATCATCCTTCAAGCCTGAACATTCTTCAGTTTGAACTGCATAGTTGCCTTCAGCATGAAAAAGCAACTCCGTTATTCATTCATTTTCCTTCGGCTTAGTCCTTTTATTCATCAGGGGTCGCCGCAGCGCAGACCCATACACACTCTAACCCACTACAGCCAATTTGGTTTAATCAGTTCACCTATTAAGCATGTCTTTGGACTATGTACCCGGAGAAAACTCAGGCAAACACAAGGAAAACATGCCCCCATGCCTCCAATCCCATCCTTGAAAAACAGTTTTGCTTTTTGTTATGGATCCAGGACCATATTAGCCTTTAAGAAAAAAGATTGGGTAAAGTTTGCCTGCCGAGATGCTCTGTCAGATCGACACATTGCACATAAACTGTTTTAAAAAATAAATGACGTGTCTATCTGCATAAACGGGATGCACAGATATACAAATCTACATTTGTTGACAGACAGTTAGGGCTACCTATTGTAAATTTCAGCCTGAATATTTTGAGTGGGCAAACATTTTAGTCCTATACCTTAGCCAGAATATAAAGTACACTTTTAAAGTTTACTTTAATCATTACTATTGGAATGTGAAGACACTTTCAAAGCACAACAAAAATGTTTATGAAGACAATCACCTATTGAACTTTAAGATATAGTATTGGACATTTGATTTCCAATGCGCTGTCAGCAGAAAACCAATCAGAACAGATTTGGCCATCTGACCTATCAGAGAAGCGTGTACTTATCCAAATGGAAGGATTTAGAGAGACTAAATCATTTGAGACACTTTGAGAAATAGAGGTGATACCACATTGTGTGATTATGAGAAAACAAAAAATAAATGCAGACCTACAAAACAAAATTAGGATCTTTTAAAATACTACAATAGAGACATTTTTAACAAAAAAAAAGTTATATTTGACTATGCACAATATTAATATAATCATATTTAGTATTCTAAGTATTTGAATGAACTTCTACAGCATATTTATTTATAATTGTGTGTACAGTTTAATTTTAACAAGTAAATTAAACAGATTAAAGCATCTAAAGAACTAATTTACCAAGAAATAGCACATCTTACAATTTTTGTAATGGTATTAGATGTTTCTGTCATATATATTGTTCTTTCACAAAGTGAATAAACCCTCTCATATCAGGCACTTGAATAACTGGTCCTAATGATAAACAGTAACACACAATGGTAATGCTCATTGCAGGCTTAACGGTAAAATACAAGTGAATGAGGACAACCACTTAATACACAGAAACACGATCTTGCCAATTCCCTCAGACCCGGCTCTGAAAGTAGACGTAAGTTTGACTTCAGCATGTTTTTTTGTCTTTTTTTTTTTTTTTGTAATTATCAGTTCCGTTTTCAGGTTGGGAGAATAAAGTGTCCTCTTTTGTTGGTGAATGGTACTGATGATCAGAATTGGGCTACCGTTGAATCTGCTGAAGATGTGAGTCTACTGTTTGTATGAATGTTTTTTTTTTTATGTATGTATGTTAATTTATATATTTCAGTCAAATTCCCTGACTTTCACTGACATAACGCCACATCAGTAGGAAATACTGCAAAACTTTCCTCTATCCTTGCTCAAAGATAACTTGAAAAAGAAGTATTTAAAAAAGGATTAAAAATTTCACTGTAGGGCTAATAACATTAACATAAACCTGTAGCTCAATAATGATTAACCTTTATAGAATTTATACAGTAAAGACTATATACAGTTTGCAATGTTATACTTGATTACTGTATATTATTCAGTTTGTTTAACGAAAAAGATGCATGAAAAACCTGAAAAGCACTGTTTATTTAAATAGTGTGTATGCTATATTTTATTCATTTTGTGTTGTGCTTTACTTTTATTAATTTTTATTTTCTTTGACAGTGCTTTTTTACTGAGCATATCATATATACCGTACCGAAACAGTGGCCAGAAAACCAAACATGAGAAGTCTGTATTATTATACAGCAAGTAAACACGTGGTTGACGAACATGCATGACTGTTAAGCTCACGTCTTTTAAAGCACTTTGTACATGAGCATCTCGCTCACAAACCAGCTGAAATCGGCCTGGCTGGTCAATCGAGTGTCTCTAATTGAAAGCAAGTTAAATTTAATATGATGAGAAAAAACTAATTCTGATATTCCATTAATTGGACATAAAATATAACCATTTCCTTGACTTTCAATGACTGGAATAGACCTTTTGTAATTTAATGGTTATACTTCAAAAAGATGTGTGTAAGCTGAGCTCATATAAAGGAATAATAACAATAGATCTTTTTTTTGTAAAAATGTTATCTTTTACGTAATATATTTTATCCTTAATTAGATGGATAAAAATCAACTTAACCAAAAATTAGAAATGTGGATGTACCCTGGTGGATTTGTTTTGATACATTTTTGCTGAAGGGAGGACATCAACATGACATCAGGTTGACGTTGTACGCCAATGTCGTAGGACTTTCCAGTTTGTTTGGAAATAAAAAATCAGGTTGACATCAGAACCCAACGTCAGGCTGATGTCAATGTCCAACCTAAAATCGACCAAATATCAACATCTAATGATATTACAGCTTGACGTTGTGTAGACATTACAGATATGACATCTATCAAAATCCAAAAATGGATTTTGGTTGCCATACCTGATGAATAAATGTCAGTGTATGATGTCAATGTGACGTTAATTTGAAATGTTGGCTCTACATTGGATTTTGGTCATTTTCCAACACAACCTAAAATCAACAAAATATCAACGTCATTTCAAATCATTATTGGACGTCAAAATAACATTGTCCTTAGATGCTGGTGACCTAAATCTAACCTAATATTAACGTTGTAAGACGTTATGTGCCAACTGGAATGGTTCACTCAAAAAAGAAAATCCTGCCCTGGGTTATTCACCTTTGACTTGCTCCAAATGAGTTTTTATATAGATACACTGGACAATTTGAAAATCCTTTAACCACTGACTTCCATTGCATTTGTTTAGTAGGTTCTACTATGCATGTCACTGGTTACAGGTTTCCACCCTTCTTCCAATATTATTCATCAGATATTCTCATGAATGTTGGTACCCAAAATGTTCTGTTTACCATTGACTTTAAATAACAGTTATCCGTATAGTGTTCACACATATGCAATTAATTAGAACCTTGATATGATTCATTTACACACAGATGGAGATGATGATGAAGAAAGCAGGAAATCGACAACTGCTGACTGTCTTGACATACCCTGATGCTGGTCATCTAATTGAACCTCCATACACACCTCACTTCAGAGCAACTAACTTCCTCCTGCATAAAATGAATGAGAAAGGCAAGCATACATGATCTATCATTGCCTTCTGTTTTGCAGTTTTCATATCCTTTTTCCTCACATGACAACTACGTTTTATTTATGAGCCGCACTTAGAAATTAGGGAACTTTCATTCAAATGAGCATAAATAATATAGCTGTTATAATATTCAATATACTATATGGCTTTATTTACATAATAGTCAGGTAGCCGAAATGGAATAGTTTTTTTGCGTTTTACAGTTTGTATTATACACAATAACAATCAGGATAATCTCCATTTACAAATATCAAATATCTGCAAAATGGCCAAAAACGCTGTATTACAAGATGACAGTGGCAAATGCTGGCTTGGTATCCGCAAGTATGTAGAAAAGTGACAACATGTCTACAGCAGCTAATTTGGTATGCATTTAGAACTCTCCATTTACATATAAAGCATCTGCGATGTGGGATATAATATTCGTTATGTGAATCCACATGTTGCACTAGTATGAAACTCATACAGGTTTGAAACATGTGGAGGGAGAGTGAATAATGTCAACTAGCATTTTTTAGTAATGCGTCTCTTTAAATCTCCTTAAATGTGTAAATATCTGTTTAAATGTACATCTGAATGTTGTTTTGTTGTTTCTGCAGTTGTCATGCTGTGGGGTGGACAAACTAAACCACATGCGTACGCTCAAGAGGACTCATGGAAGAAGATTTTAGCATTTTTTCGAGAGCACCTCTACGGTTCAAACGTTAAAGCCAAATTGTAGTTTCTTCATTTGAGACTGTGATATATGACCAACTTCATTTCAAAATGCCTTTAAATTCAATGATGATGCTGCCAGTACTTGATGTTACATTTCACTTTGTTATCTGTATTGCAGAGGATCTTAAGTATATTTTAAGCAATACTTTTGTAGCAGACACATGCCAAAATGCATTATTAATTATTGTAATAATTATGTACAGAAATTAATAATTACATGGTTATGGTAACACTGCCAAATAAATGTATTAGATTCTGTTTGCGGAGAAAGACACTTAAGATGATTCTGGCACTACATTTTCTTATTTTGTAATCAAAATCTACCTCTGCTTAATAAAAGCATAAATAATAATTTGAGATCATTTCATTTTCTACTTTAGTTGGACTTTTGTTTGTTTTAAAAAAAAAAGATTGTGTGTTTTCTAAAATGACTATTATGATTATGAGAATCTGTGTTTTAAACATGAAAAATATTTATGCAATCTAGAAGATTTGAGATAATTTGGATGAATTTGCTATAATAAAAGTTAGTTTTATTTATATTAATGGTATTTTGGGATGTAAATACCTGTTGTATAATTAACCTGTATGAGTTGCAAATACAATGAGTTTGCTCATTTTTTTACCGATAAGATAATAATATCAGAAAGGCTCATCCAATCAGCCAAGTTTTGCTGTTGTCAGAAAGGATCAATCACGACTAAAGTCAAGGCAATTGATAGCAAAATTTTGGAAGCAATCGTACTGATTATAAAAACATTAACCTTTAGTCTTGACACACTCCACACATTGTTCTTCAAAATGATGCAATTGTTTAGAAATCGATCTTCTTGAAGTGGAAAATACTTTACTTCTTCCTGGGACATTTTTAACTCCCTTAAAATTGCAGTTGTTAAACCCCTCTTTAAAAAGAGCAATTTGGATAACACCCTATTGAGCAACTACAGACTGATTTTGTTTTCATATTTTGACAACTTCAACTCCTCTGCTACAGGTGTTTTTTAATCATTTACTTATTTATTTTTGTTTGTTAATTTTTGTTATTTTATTTATAAGTTTGTATTATTATTATTATTGAGAATAGAAAGATTGTGAATGTATGCAAACTGATTGTTATCTTTTGTGAAATTATAAACTGTATTAATGCCTTTCTGTTTCCGTTCAAGCAATGTTTATAAAAAAGATGTTCCTCGAAGCCAAGAAAATCTTCATCTATAGCTCAACAGATAAGGGAGAAGAGCAGTCTGACATGCTTTAATTTACTAGCCTTAGATAAAAGAAACAGATTTTAAAAAGGTGGCACTTAGTGACACTTTTGCTTGTACAATAAACTGCCTGCACAATATCAATTCATGGAAGAAGATGAAAAAAAAACACTAAGCTCTGAATATATCCTATCTACTGGAAAATGTTTTTGATTCGAGTCACCAGCAGATGGCAGTAATACACTGATAAGTGTGGCATGTTAAAAATAGAAAGAAGAAGAACAGGACGGGACCATGGGTAGGTCTATGGAGGGACACCACTCAAAAACATAAATATTTTGTTTAAGTGTGGGACAATATGTTGGTATTTAATAATTTGTATATTCGTTGAAATCTATGCAATTTACGCGTTGTCTTTGTGGTGGTTGGAGCTTGTGTTGCATTAATTGTGATTTGTCTTCCCTTCAAAATGACATGCTAATTTAGAGTTTCAGTATCGGAATTTACAGTATTTGCATTAAAAAGGTATGCCCTGGCTTTAGAATGTTATAAAGGACATTTGCTGCTGTGATGACATTCTGTGTCAAAGGTAACATTTCGTCATCAGCATTAGTCCATGCTGAACTTCAGAACGTCATCACTACAGGTAGTTATTTGAACGATAAGTTAAATTATCTAACGTTATACTAACGTTACGTCTACAATTTGTAGTTATAACGTTCATTTCCTGTAGGTAAATTAAAATAGATTGGATTTAAATTAGATGGATATCGTTCTTTAAAACTTCCTTCTGCCTGGGTCTTTCACTTACGCAAGCTTACACGTTAAACAAGTTGTAAACTTTTTGAGAAGTGAAGTAATACATAATTTATTTATCTTTTGCCTTTGTAGGAATATTGTGACTGACTCTAATCAGTTTATTACCATAGAAGAAAGAAACGTCTATTATCGGACTACCATGTTGGCACCTGTTAGGTAACGTACATATATTTCTTGTCATCAACAAAGGTTTTAACAAAATACTGTATGTATTTTTTACAGCTACAGAATCATGACTTTGTCATTTAATTAATTCGTTTATTTTTTTGTCTGTGATTGTGATTAAGTTAACATTATTATAATTTGTGACATTGCGGCAGGTAATTGTTGATTTTACTAGCGTTTATTAGGCAACATGATTGCAACTCACTTACCCTGATTGTTCCAAAGTCATGTAGGCTAACTGTGTAGTGTGTAGCATGGGGAATTTTGCCTTTTCCCCTCCATGACATTGATGAATAGTAACTGACTAACGTTAGTGTAGTGTAAAAATAAATGTAAAAGCACCACATTTCATAAAAATGGTCAGAGTCTTGTCTTAAATGTGTCTTCAGGAAAAAAAATACATTTTCAGAACAATTCTTCTCCTGAGATAGTAATGCCTGGTTTATTAATCAAAGTCAGCTTTGTTGTTGTCTATTAAATGATATGTACAGTAAATACAATTACACATATAATTTAATCTTAAAATATAAGTAAAAAAATTGTAAACAACGCAATTACACTCAAGGGCACATGGCAAGGAGTGCAAACCAGAGTTGTGCAGATGCTAAACAGTTTATAGTGCAACAAGCTTGTAAATATGATCATATTTACTATATTTATCATAAGTATGATAAGGTAAGATGATATGAAAAGGTAAATATGATTAAACATTTGTGAATCAATGATTTAGTCACATTACTTTGTCTTTTTAAATTTAAATAATTTAGCATTTAAGTGTGTTTATATAATAATTTCTATAAAAATAACATAAAAATAATTAAATGTAATATAAAAATAGATAGGCCCACTGTATACAGTAGTCAACATTGAAAGTGGGTCACAACATTTTATTAAAGTTAAAGTCCTAAAAGTTTTCAACAACTCTTATTGTTGTCCAAGAAAAATATTGAATAACTAATAATAAACTAACAACCACTAATAAAAACCAATAAGTGTATTCACAACAGTGAATCAAAGGGAAGATTTGTACATTGGAAAGACTTATAGGGAAAAAAAAATTTTGTTTGTTTATTTATTTATTTTTGTTTATTTATTTCTCCCTAGGACTGTGAGCACCGCGAATAGGACAAGTCCTTTGTTGACTGTTCAGCCTCGTCGAGGACTGGTTGACGAGAAGTTTCAAATTGTCATAACAAATTTACTGCCAAATCAAGAGGTAACGCTGCACTCTCTACATCAGTCTGAAGATAAGGACTTCTGGGAGGCTTTTGGACACTATATCAGTGATGAACATGGAACAGTGACAGGTGTGTACAACAATCTGATGCATGACTCCAACCTAAACATACTCCATACCAACTACCCTTCTAAAGTGTGGAAAAACTGACAGACTGAGGCTAGACATTATTTTACACTTTGCACTCTCATCCCCTTACTTTTCTTGTCCTTTACTACATTCATTGCTTGAAAAAATTGGTTTATCAGTGCACATTTGGCTTTAATATTATACAGTTGGTAAAGAAGTGGATGCATGCTGCACAGCTGGTTTGATGACATCATTAAAAACAAGCATGGGTAACTGCACCAACTTTAGCTTGAAAACTGTGTTTTTGACATTTAACTTTTACGGTTTGTTTCCCAAATTCAAGAGCATCACAGTGCTTTACTGTGTTTTAGTGAGTGATAATGTTGCAGTTTGCATAAAGAGTGAGTGGCGTGGCAACAAAAAACTCCATGAGTTTGTTTAAGGTTTTGCAGAAATAATGTCAAAGCTTAATTTTCAGCAGCAATTACTCCAGTGTTGAATGTCACAATCCTTCCTAAGTCATTACATTATGTTGATATTGTACTCAAGAAAAATGTAATATTATTTAATTATTATTATCATCATTATCATCATCTGTTAAAAATGAATGTGCTGCTTATAATTTTTATGCAAACCGAGATACATTTTTCAAGAATCTTTGATGAATAGAAAGTTCAATGTTTAGTTTCTTTTTTTACAACTAATATTACAGTTTTTTTAAACTTTTGAAAAGTTTATATTTTAACAGCCTCAAACTTAAAACAGTAGTGTATAATCTGCAAAGACTGTTTATTCGATTTGTTATTTGTTTTGTCAAGTACTTAAATTACCTCACATTATGATAAATAACCTGCTTCGACTAATAGAAGATCAGTCACTTTAGCAATGAATGACATTTGTGTGTATCCTGTTGAAATAGTGGCAAAAGATGAAAGTTTGGGAGGTACATATGAAGGCACAGAGCAGATGGGTTTGCTGTGGAGCCTGAGGCCTGTACCAGGAAGTCGATCAGCTCTCAGGTAATGAATGATAGTGTACTAAGTTTAAAATACATTTTGATCCTAATGAATCCAAATTGTGAGATTTAAGTTGATTTATTTTATTGCATATTCATTCACTAATTTTTCACGTCTCTTTTCATTTAAGGTTGCGCAAGACAAATGTACTCACACCTATGGTAGTTAACATTTCAGTCTACAATGGGCATCTGTCTCAAGGATTCAGTAAGACCTCAGTGCTGGCCACAACTGTCACAGAGCGCTGGTACATGGCACCAGGTGTACAAAGGGTGAACATAAGAGAGAACGGAGTTCGAGGAACTTTATTTCTACCCCCAGGTACACACACACAGGAGAGGTGGTACACTTGTGGTAATACAGAAAAAAATGATTCTGTGCAATTTTCCAACCAACGTTTTGAAACATTTGAATGAGTAAATGCACAATATGTACTTGCTTTTAATGTTCAGGTTATTTTAGTGTACAGATTTTTGTTTGTTATCAGCACTAGCTACTAGTGTACGCGAAAAATCGCATTAAGAGTTTAGGGATATGGCACAAGGCATAAACGTGGATTAAACACTTATATCCAGCAGTCTACATGTGTTTGTTGCATTACAAACATGCACAGCAAGTTTTAATAAATATAATTAAACACACCTTATGCCTTTTTGGGGTGGCGCTGAATAAATGTATAATCCGTATATCCTTCATTTTGCATTGCGAGAACTGCAGTGCATTGGTGTTAGTTGCTTAGCAACACAAAACAACCGCAAAACCATTGCTTTATTGCTCTACCTGCATACGAGTCCTACATACAAAGTAAGTTTAAAATATGCTAAGACACTTTAAAATAAGG